TTCTGGATCATCCAAATGCACTCTAGCAAACTTCAGACGGGCCTGGACATGTACTGGCTTAAGCAGGGGGACACGTCTGGCACTGCAGGATTTGAGTCCCTGGCGGCGTAGTGTGTTACTGATAGTAGGCTTTGTTACTTTGGTCCCAGCTCTCTGCAGGTCATTCACTAGGTCCCCCCGTGTGGTTCTGGGATTTTTGCTCACCGTTCGTGTGATCATTTTGACCCCACGGGGTGAGATCTTGCGTGGAGCCCCAGATCGAGGGAGATTATCAGTGGTCTTGTATGTCTTCCATTTCCTAATAATTGCTCCCACAGTTGATTTCTTCAAACCAAGCTGCTTACCTATTGCAGATTCAGTCTTCCCAGCCTGGTGCAGGTCTACAATTTTGTTTCTGGTGTCCTTTGACAGCTCTTTGGTCTTGGCCATAGTGGAGTTTGGAGTGTGACTGTTTGAGGTTGTGGACAGGTGTCTTTTATACTGATAACAAGTTCAAACAGGTGACATTAATAGAGGTAACGAGTGGAGGACAGAGGAGCCTCTTAAAGAAGAAGTTACAGGTCTGTGAGAGCCAGAAATCTTGCTTGTTTGTAGGTGACCAAATACTTATTTTCCACCATAATTTGCAAATAAATTCATTAAAAATCCTACAATGTGATTTTCTGGATTTTCTTTGCTCAATTTGTCTGTCATAGTCGACGTGTACCTATGATGAAAATTACAGGCCTCTCATCTTTTTAAGTGGGAGAACTTGCACAATTGGTGGCTGACTAAATACTTTTTTTCCCCCACTGTAGTTAGTCCGGGTAGCTATTTAACTATCTGCATTGACCCTTTTTGCACGAACTCCTTTGACTCAGCTCATATGCTGCTGCTACTGTTTATCTATCCTGTTGCAGTCACTTTATCCCTACCTATATGTACATATCTAGCTCAATTACCTCGTATCCCTGCACATCAACTCGGTAATGGTACCCAGTGTAAATAGTGCCTTCAGAAAATATTCACACCCCTTGACTTTTTCCAGATGTTGTGTTACAGCCTGAATTTCAAATGTATTAAATTGAGATTTTGTGTCACTGGCCTACACACAATACCCCATTATGTCAAAGAGGAATTATGGTTTTAGATTTTTAAACAAATTCATAAAAAATTTAAAGCTGAAATGTCTCGAGTCAATACGTATGTATTCAACCCCTTTGTTATGGCAAGCCTAAAGTTCACAAGTAAAAATGTGCTTAACAAGTCACATAAGTTGCATGGACTCACTCTGTGCAATAATAGTGTTTAACATGATACTGTATTTGAATGACTACCTCATCTCTTGTAACCCACACACACAATTATCTGTAAGGTCTCAGTCGAGCAGAGAATATCAAACACAAATTCAACCAAAGACCAGGGAGGTTTCCCAATGCCTCGCAAAGAAGGGAAGTATTGAGCATGGTGAAGTTACTACACTTTGGATAGCGTATCAATACACTCAGTCACTACAAAGATACAGGTGTCCTTCGTAATTCTGTTTCCGGAGTGGAAGGAAACCACTCAGGGATTTCACCATGAGGCCAATGGTGGCTTTAAAACAGTTAGAGTTTAATGGCTGTGATAGGAGAAAACTGAGGATGGATCAACAACATTGTAGTTACTCCACAATACTAACCTAAATGACAGAGTGAAAAGGAAGCCTGTACAGAATAAAAATATTCCAAAACATGCATCCTGTTTGCAATAAGGCACTAAAGTAAAATGGCAATACATGTGGCAAAGAAATTAACTTGATGTACTGAATACAGTGTTACATTTGGGGCAAATCCAACAACACATCACTGAATACCACTTCATATTGTCAAGCATGGTGGTGAATGCATCATGTTATGGGTATGCTTGTCATCGGCAAACACTAGGGAGCTTTTTAGTATAAAAAGAAACTGAATAGAGCTAAGCACTGGCAAAATTCTAGAGGAAAACCTGGTTCAGTCTGCTTTCCAACAGACACTGGGAAACAAATTCAACTTTCAGAAGGACAATAACTTAAAACACAAGGCCAAATATACACTGGAGTTGCTTACCAAGATGACATTGAATGTTCCGGAGTGGCCTAGTTACAGTTTTGACTTAAAATTGGCTTAAAAATCTATGGCAAGACTTGAAAATGGCTGTCTAGCAATGATCAACAACGAACTCGACAACTTGAAGAATAAAAAAATAAATGTGCAAATATTGTACAATCCAGGTGTGCAAAGCTCTTTTATTTTTTTTTCACCTTTATTTAACCAGGTAAGCCAGTTGAGAACAAGTTCTCATTTACAACTGCAACCTGGCCAAGATAAAGGAAAGAGGTGCGATAAAAACAACAGAGTTACATGTGGGATAAAACAAAATGTAGTAAGTTATGGAGGTAAAGCAATAAATAGGCCATAGTGCAAAATAATTACAATTTAGTATTAACACTGGAGTGATAGATGTGCAGAAGAAGATGTGCAAATAGAGATACTGGGGTGAAAATGAGCAAAATAAATATGGGGATGAGGTAGTTGGGTGGGCTAATTACAGATGGGCTGTGTACAGGTGCTGTGATCGGTAAGCTGCTCTGACAACTGATGCTTAAAGTTAGTGAGGGAGATGTCATTTAGCAGACGCTCTTATCCAGAGCGACTTACAGTTAGTGCATACATTATTTTTTTTCATACCCCCTGTGGGAATCAAACCCACAACCCTGGCGTTGCAAACGCCATGCTCTATCAACTGAGCTACATCCCTGCCGGCCATTCCCTCCCCTACCCTGGACGATGCTGGGCCAATTGCGCGCCGCCCCATGGGTCTCCCGGTCGCGGCCGGCTACGACAGAGCCTGGATCCGAACCAGGATCTCTAGTGGCACAGCTAGCACTGTGATGCAGTGCCTTAGACCACTGCGCCACTCGGGAGACGGATAAGTGTCTCCAGTTTCAGAGATTTTTGCAGTTCATTCCAGTCATTAGCAGCAGAGAACTGGAAGGAATGGCGGCCAAAGGTGGTGTTGGCTTTGGGGATGACCAGTGAGATATACCTGCTGGAACGCATACTACGGGTGGGTGTTGCTATGGTGACCAATGAGCCAAGATAAGGCGGGGATGGTGTTAAGACAATTACATTGATGAAAGTTACAATCTACAATATTAAAGCTGATCTACCCCCTAAAAAAAAAAGACTAAAAAAAAAGATAAGGCGGGGAATTGCCTAGCAGTGATTTATAGATGACCTGGAGCCAGTGGGTTTGGCGACGAATATGTCGTGAAGGCCAGCTAACGAGAGCGTACAGGTGACAATGGTGGGTAGTATATGGGACTTTGGAGACAAAACGGATGGCACTGTGATAGACTACATCCAATTTGCTGAGTAGACTGTTGGAGGCTATTTTGTAAATTACATCGCCGAAGTCAAGGATCGGTAGGATAGTCAGTTTTACGAGGGCATGTTTGGCAGCATGAGTGAAGGAGGCTTTGTTGCGAAATAGGAAGCCGATTCTAGATTTAACTTTGGATTGGAGATGCTTAATGTGAGTCTGGAAGGAGAGTTTACGGTCTAACCAGACACCTAGGTATTTGTAGTTGTCCACATTTTCTAAGTCAGACCCGCCGAGAGTAGTGATTCTAGTCGGGCAGACTAGACTCTTAGACTTACCCAGAAAGACGCACAGCTGTAAATCACTGCCAACAGTGATTCTAACATGTATTGACTCAGGGGTGATATCTATTTCATTTTAAATAAAGTTCCAAACATTTCTCTAAACAGGTTTTCACTTTGTCATTATGGGGTAGTGTGTAGATGAGTGAGAAAATCAATCAATTTAATCCACTTTGAATTCAGGCTGTAACACAATGTGGATTAAGTCAAGGGTATGAATACTTTCTGTAGGCACTGTAGCCAAGTTATCGTTACTCATTGTGTATTGTTTCCTCGTGTTATTTTTCTATTATTAATTTCTCTGTATTGTTGGAAAGGGTCCGTAAGTATTTCACTGTTAGTCTACACCTGTTTACAAAGCATGTGGCAAAATAACTTTTTTTGCTAAACAACCCACCCGTCTACAATGGGACCCGGTTTCCTGTTAATGCCTGCAGTACCACGGTCGGCCTTGAACATCCGTGGCTTCCATGAGAGGGTGCAGTCGTTCTCCCTTGGTAGGGATTAACCACAGCCAGTAGATAGCGATAGTATTGGTTTTAGTGACAGGCTAATCACAGGCTGCTGCGGGGCTGCATCTCAAGCATTCACCAGTTGCTCATGAACTGGTATGGACACAGGGATTAAAGTTCAGGAGACTCCTCCCCTTTAGTAGAAACCCTAGATAGGAGCATGCTTGACCACCGATCTAATATTACTCTATTACTTACATTAGGAGAATGGGGAAACTGACTATCAGTGGTTAACATACATTTGAAGCACTCTGGGTTGTCTGGTGTTTTATAGGTATCAGCCAGGTATTTATAGGATATCAAATGCAGTCATACTAATACTTGAAATAGACTTGTGCCCCCCATAAATCTGGCATTACGATCTGTATTCCCATTACCTACCTTCCATACATTTTCTGTCAGTAGTCTTTCAGGGACCAAGTGCCTTCACAGTTTCCTTGTTTCATCAGTTACTCAGGAGGTGTGGTTTACACTGGAAGTCTTTAGATTAGTCGTAGTAGCAAAAAGGCTCAAGATTCCCAGCACCAGGTCATTAAAACTCAATACTTTTGACTTAAATCTGTGCTACACTGTTTACAAAAAATATTTAACTACAGCAATGAACGACATCCAGTCCTACAATACCATTTCAGCAGAGGGACTTCTTAAAGTTCAGTAAAACAGAGCAGTTTACACCTATAAGGACTAAACTGTATTCGATATCGCTGTTAAGACAAATCCCTTTGAGTCAAGAGTTCTTCAATCCTAGTCCTGGAGATGTACGATTCATAATTTCACAAAACGTATACCAATACAGAGGGAAACCTAGTTCAATTTACCAAGCCACAACTTTATTTCCATCTCGGGTATAAATTGTACAAACAATAGTAGATTAAAATCAGCAACCTTTCAGAACCCCTTCGACCAGCAGCCTACATCGTCAATTCCTGTGAATATAAGAATACAAATGTGTTGATACATGCACAAACTAAGCCCCGTCATAGTTAAGTGCCCTTCTCTTCTCAGGACAGAAAGGTTGGCTTCAGCAGACTCAGAAGAACGAAAGTCACTGTATCAATCATCACTGAAGAGAAATGACCTGCTGCTAGTAGATCCTACGATCACTTTGACAGGTCACAACTCAAATCTACAAATATTTGGAGTGAAGGGACCCCCTGTGCTGGATAATAGTCTGGTGACAAGGGAATTGTGTGGTAAAATGTACTTACCATAATAGCATTGACAATGTCATTGTTGTTGTTTTTAAGGGCGCGTACAGCCTTCGCTCGCGACACGTTGGCTTGGGACATCACAAGCTCAATGTCCTTCACCTCGACCCCGGTCTCGTCAACCTATGCATTGAGACAAAGCATTAGTATCTGACAGTTAAACTCACACTGCAATTCACTGACATCAAGGGGAATGGGGCTTTTGGATTGGACCTACAAATTACCCCATTAAACATGGGAGACTACTACAAACTAAATGCTAATTAATTGTGGCAAACAGAGTTATACCATCTAAATGGACAAAAAGTATGGTACCTGGTTTTTGATCATGTATAAACTAAGCCCTATCATAGTTTACAGTGCTCTGGTTTCAGATCATGTATACAACTAAGCCCTATCATAGTTTACAGTGCTCTTCTCTTCTCAGGACAGAAAGGTTGGCTTCAGCAGACTCAGAAGAACGAAAGTCACTGTATCAATCATCACTGAAGAGAAATGACCTGCTGCTGATTCTATGATAACTTTGTTACCCCTCTCAAGGCCCTCACCTCTTCCTCTTCGCTTTCCTCCTGTACAGTGGGCGTCTGCGTGTTTTCCTGGACGTTCGACACGGCTTCTCCCTGTACCTTGAACTTCTCTGCCGCGGCCAGCTGGGCTTGCTGTGAGAGATCCTCGATCTGAGACACAAAGGCAGAGAAACAGACTGTGATATCAGCGCTGTAACCTTTGGCAAGAACCACAACACCTTGGTTGAATGGACATTACACTGCATATTTGACTGATACCCTTAAGAGTATGTGATTCTGGTTCTGAAAGAGCAGTTTAGATGAGATGGAATAATGCCAACAGCATCACAGATTTAAAAGGGGATCAGAAAACAAAATTCAAACTATCCTGGATCCATCTTACCTTAGCCTCACCAAAGACAATGTAAGTGTCTGACGCAGGGCTCTTGTAGACGTCTGGTTTGGTGATGACGAACAGGATATTTTTAGACTTGCGAATGGTAACCCTGGTGACCCCAGTCACCTGCCTGAGACCCAGCTTAGACATTGCCTGGAGAGAAGCAAGCAATCATGGGTCAAGCTCTATTTTGAGTGGAACTGAATACTAGTTCCAACAATGGACAGTTATAGACTGCATAGTAATTTAAATAATCCAATGTATACTTTTAAGATTGGAATGTCTAATGAAAACAAGTCTAGATCGTTTTTAAAACTAGTTACCTTTCGTGCCTTCTTTTCACTACGGCTCTGTTTGGCTTTGCTAACGGGTTCTTCATCTATTTCTGCAGCAGCTGCAAGCTGTGGAAAAAAAAAAAAAATGATCCTCCTTTAATGACAGTCAAGATGTATATTTTTGGGGAATGAGACCAAAAATTCAACCCATATGTAAGAATATGGTACGCGTGGTAAAAATAAAGCAAATGAAATGATCCCTTTCTCTTCTCAGGACAGGAAGGTTGGCTTCAGTAGAATCAGAAGAACGAAAGTCACTGTATCAATCATCACTGAAGAGTCAAGAATCTATTCTAATCATGTTGTGAGTGCAGTATAAGGGTTTACTCTATCACACCCATACAACATATAAGCAGCTAGTTAAATTAATCGATTCTGTGGCCTACCAGACCCCTGTTCAGGCAGTCTTACTTGGGCACTTGGTCAATCCCATGTGGTCTTACCTGGGCTTGCTGTGTCTGTGCAGAGTCGTGTTCCTCCAGATCTGGTACAGAGTCATCACTGTCCGATTCAGTGCCAGACCCTATAAGCCCCCACAGAGAAACAAGCATTATTCACATTATACATGCGGTCACTGGCATAGGCCTGAGCTGCAGACACAGGCTACTGTAGAAGAACTGGTTAAGACAAGATAATTGTAATTGCATAGGCATTTATCTGAGCAAAGTCTATTTGAGGCACTAGAGACTAATACAAATTGAGATGTTGAATGTAGGTGAATCTAACCTATTAGTTTGAGGCACTGAAACAGAATAAAAATGGGGTATATGTGGATGAGGTTAACAAAAATGTAGTGTAGAAAATAACAGACCTGCTTAGAAATGTGAAAGAATCTGTTGAGTAGTAAAATCTTGCACACCCTTTTCATACAGATTTTTAAATGAATCTCCCAACTTCACAAACCTGTATCACAATGACATGGAACCCCCCCCCCCCCCAAATGTCCTTTTACAGGTTGACAGAATGAAATAGTGCCTTCAGAAAGTATTCACACCCCATTACTTTTTCAACATCTTGTTACAGCCTGAATTTAAAATGGATTAAAGTGAGATTGGTCAAAGGCCTAATACCTCAATGTCAAAATTGAGGTCTTTTGAATATTGAATATATATACACACGTGATCTTTGAAACAGGCCAGTTCACAGGTTACATTTGAGGCAAAGCTAATACAGACTCCAATCTCTACTTTCTTTATATTAAACCTTAAAAAGGGAAAAGAGACACTTGAACGGGCCACAGAAATCAACACTGGTGGGCAAACAGATGGGACACAGGAGACGGACAAAATAAGGAGAAATACCCTTGTCATTCTTGATCACAGGCTCCGGTTTTGTAGGGGATTTAGCAGAGGTGGGGGCAGGTTTTGAAACAGGTGCTGGTGGTACAATGGCTACTTCAACAGGCTTAGGGGGAGCTACAACAGGATTGACGAGAACAGGCTTAGGGGGAGCTGGTGCAGCTACCACGGCTGCATAGGAAGCAGGCTTAAGGAGAGCTGGTGCAGCTACAACGGGAGCGGCCTTGACGGAAGCTGGTGCAGCTACAACGGGCGCTGGCGAAGCTACAACGGGAGCAGCTACAACCGGAGAGAACTCAACAGGAGTAGGTGCAGCTACAACGGGAGTGGCCTTGACGGAAGCTGGTGCAGCTACAACTGGCTCAACGGGAGCTGGTGCAGCTACAACCGGAGCAGGTTTAGGAGGAGCTGGTGAAGCCACAACGGTCTTTACTGGAACTGGTGAAGCCACAACGGGTTTAACTGGAATTGGCGCAGCTACAACTGGAGAGGCCTTGACGGAAGCTGGTGCAGCTACAACGGGCACTGGCTTAGCGAGAGCTGGTGAAGTAACAACAGGCGCTGGTGCAGCTACAACTGGAACAGGCTTAGGGGGAGCTGGTGTAGCCACAATGGGCTTAACTGGAGCAGGCTTAGGGGGAGCTGGTGTAGCCACAATGGGCTTAACTGGAGCAGGCTTAGGGGGAGCTGGTGTAGCCACAATGGGCTTAACTGGAGCAGGCTTAGGGGGAGCTGGTGTAGCCACAATGGGCTTAACTGGAGCAGGCTTAGGGGGAGCTGGTGTAGCCACAATGGGCTCAACAGCAGCTGGTGAAGCAACTGGGGCAGGCTTAGGAGTCTCTACTACTGTAGGGGGTGAGAAGACTGGCATCTTTACTGGCTCCTCTGGTGGAATGAGAGGGGGAAGGTCATCGTCATCCTCCTGGGCAGGCTTAGCTGGTGCTGCATTGACCTCTTTCACCTCAGCTTTGGGCAGAGGCTCTGGCTTGGCCATGGGAATTTCAGGGGCAGCTTTAGGGGGGCTAGAGGCAATAGCGTCAGCAAATGACACAGGGTCTGGTGTAGCAGGCTTTGAGGTCACTTTGAAGGACACAGGGGACGCCACAGGCTTGGGAGAGGCAGGCTCTGGAGCAACAGTTACTGGCGTGGCCACTACTACTGCAGGAGCAGCTTTAGGCTTCATAGGAACAGGTTTGGCCTGTGTGGGGGCAGGAGCCTCTGCTGGGGCTGGCAGGTCAGCAGCAGGCTTGAAATACTCTTTTTTAGCCTTTCTTTGTTTGCCAGCCTTCACAACCTTGGGGGCAGCACGATTGCCCTGGCTGGGAGCTCCAGCAGCCCCAGGTGAGGTAGCTAGGGGGGAACAGGATGCGGAGGTGGTGGACTTTGGTGAGGTAGGAGAAGCAGAGGAGGCAGACATCGCAGAGCGTTTTCTTCTGCCAGGGACAGCCTTTGGGGCAGAGCCACCCTTGGCCTCTTTGCCTTTGGGCTTGGCAGGGCCAGAAGCAGTCTGAGGGTTCTGGGAGGTAGCCAGACTTGCAGGGGCAGAGGGTGCAGCTGAATGAAACAAATGTGTTTGTTTAAAATTTGGAAGACAAGAACGTCAAAGCCTGAACCATGCGGGTTAAAAGATCGGAACACAGGAGGCAATGTTACCTCAGAACTCCAGGGTTAGGAAAACACCACACCAACCTTCTTTCCAAAACGGAAGGAATTGTTGCAGGGCAGCACACTCAATTTCAAGTATTCAGGCAAAACCACTAACAACCTGAAGTTAAAACATCTACTTGGTCCAAGCACAGACCCACACGTCACATTTTATACATCGTTACTCTAATTTCATAACCAGAGATAAAAATTGAGGACCCAGTCAGTGCAGAAGAAAGACAAAGCTTGGCAAATGCATTCACAAAGCATGGCACTATTTACACTAAAATACATTTGTGACAGGTCAAATTCGAAGGCTCTTTAGTGGTTATAAACAATGCTATGCAGAACAGAGCACATTAAGAACATTTGATCTACAAAAAAAAAAAATAAATTAAGTTATCGCAGTGCTTTCCAAACTTTTTCACTCATGCCCCCCTTTCATCATTGCGCACCCCATAGATTTGGGAACAACTAGGCTATAGTAGATACAAATCAAATAAATCATTATTTCATTGAAACATTTGACCAATTCGCTATGTTTAATACTACCATTACATTTAAAAAACAATCCACAGCAGATGTGAGGATGATGAAAGGATAGTGAGGATTAAAATGGTGTACCGCAATGAACAAATAGCAATAACTGGAACTAGAGCTCCCTCAATGGACACAAATACCAGTGTTGAAAACACACTGCAGTTAGAGCACATTAACACAGTTGGCTTGGTGCATTCTTCCTGGACAAACACCAATAAGCCCAGAGAAAGTAGAGCGACAGTGAAAAGGACAGTCAACATCTGAAGCCGAGGAAAAAGTTGCTGAAGTCAACTCTTTACATGAAGCGCTTAAATGGACTGGCCTGTTTCAAGGTGAAACTGAGTTTAAACAGTGACGCAAGATACATTTGAGAGCCCTTTTGAGATAATAACAAGCCTCAAAAGAAAATAGACAAACTCTTAATTCTCTCTCAACATTCGCCCTTTTCATCAAGCATATTAAAATACATAAGATCAATTGGGGAAAGCATACCATTTAAAAAGCTAATCTAGGCCCAGTGGGTGCAAAAGTGTGCAAGTATAGAAGAAACAAAAGATCTGGAAGAGGGAGCTGCTGTAAGAGGGTAAAAGCAGCTTTTACTTTGCACACAAAATGACCCACCTGACAGGTGCCGGGTGGAGATGGTCGGGCCTGCACGATTTGACGTCACCTTTGTCTGGACGGCCTCAGAGAAGGCCGCAATTGCTTCTTTCTCAACGGGAGTTTCGTTTTGTGTGGCAGTGTCTATGGTCAAATCAGCAGGCAGAGGTTCAGGTTCTGTGGCCCCAGGGTTCGAGTTGGCCACTTCAGTGCATGGTATGCCATCTTCAGGAGCTGGCTCCAAACTCACAGTCTTCAAGTCTTCAGTGATCGTCTCGACTGCAGGCTCGGGGGTGACTTCTGGAGTTCCACGTGCCACCCCATCAACAGTGTCTGCGATTGGCCCGTCAACAGCATCAGCGATTGGCTCTTCAGCAGCAGGCACTGGTTCTTTGACCGGAGTCTCTTCAGCCACTTCAATGGGCTCTTCAGCTTCAGCCACAGGTTCCTCAGCCACGGTCTCTTGAGTGGCTGCCACGGTAGCCTCTGTAACTTGAGCTGAATCTTGAATGATTACATCTTCCGTTGCTTGGTTGACCTGTTCTTCAGCAGCTTCTTTACACTCTTCAACAACGGTTGCTTGCACAATGGGTTCTTTGGCAGCAGCTTCTGGGTCTTGAACAGTTGGTTCTTCATTTGAGGCATCAGGTTCATCAGAAAGAGCCGTTGGTTCTTGAACAGGCATTTCTTCTGAGGCAGATGCAGCAGCCTCAACTGGAGAGACAGATTCTTGGATCACTGCTTTCTCTGTGACTCCTGGCACCTCAGTTTGCGCATTGACTTCAAGTGTTGCTTTTACACCATTAAGTTGTCCACTAGCTGCCTCTCCAGAAGCCATGCCTGACACTGGATGGGATTCGATCTCTGGAAGAAAAGTGGAGCCTTCTGGAGGCACAGGACTCTCCAAAGGGGCCTTGGTCACAGCGATCCCAAGGGGAGCAGAGGAACTCAACACCCCTGGAGCTGATAGGAAGGAAAGGAGGAGGAGCAGCAGGGGATAGTCACAGCGATAGTGTGAGGATCGGTTGATAAGCTTACGTTTTTTTAACGCATATGATCAAAATGATTGAACCCCTCGTTTAAGAAAATCTAGCTACACTAATTGTACTCTCCTATACGAGATACTTTTACAAACATGAGGAAGGTGGGGTCCAAAATGTTTTGATTATATGACAAAATATTAAGAGGAAACAATTGAATAAGAGTACATTTTTTAGCAATGGGTTTGTGATCTACATCTACCAATTCAGTTGAACCAAGGTGTTTGTGAGGTTGTGCAAGGATGCAGACTTCAGCTTTCTATTTGTTATAAGTGAACCAAAAATGGGTGAACGTTGTGTATACCCACAAAACCAAACTTGTGCCCATGTCCCAGTTACCATGCAGTGCCTAAATGCACAAGATTGTAGTTGGAAAAACCTTGAGACCGAAAGTGAGGAAACCCTCTGAAGAGTAGCATTCAATACATCTACAAACTGTAATAACAATATTTCAGAGTGAAGAGTCTTACGACAGAGACAATCATGCACACTGAACAACTAGAAAACTTTTGAATTAGTAAATCGAGATTTAATAAGTTGCTATTCTGTTTGATATGAGGCAATTTAATAACCTTACCTGAATAACTGTCAAATTACTAGAATTGAAAAGCAAACCTAAATATTTTCTCATCCATTTCATGCAATTGAACCCAATTCCCAGAGGATTTTCAACACTTTTCTGGAACACCGACTTCCTTGCTGAACAAAAACAATTTTCAGCTCTTCCAACCGTCTAACATTAACAGTAATTCTTAAAGTCTTCACCTGTGGTCTTCAGCTAAAAACAGTTAGCTGACACTTGGTGTTACCACTAGCATGTGGTCTCTATCTATAAATCCTTCACTGTAGTTTCTCAGCAACTTCATTAAACAGGCACCTGTGGTACTGAACACCCATGGTCTTCTCCAATCAATATCGGTAGTCTTCACTTGTTTAGCACATGCACCTTCTTCAGCTGCCATCACGACCAGTGGACTTCAAAAGCAATCTGTGGTCTTCATCAGCTCCACCCCGTAGTCTCTTTGGGGAAACATGGACTTTCATCTGCTTATAACTCTTCTGGTACAGGGCTTGGTAGTGAGGAAATCCAAAAAGTTTCACCAATTATCTTCACTTGCATATTGACACATCTTTGTTATACTAATCAGAATTTGGTTGGTTGCAGCATGAAACTGCTTTAAGAAAACCAACCTCAATACTAATTCCGTACTAATTAAAACCAATGTTTCTCAAATGACTTGAAAATAAAGCTCCATAAGCTACTTCACAGAAGCAGCTTACCTTTGACATCACCATTTAGTCAAATCAATGCCATAACAGGCCTACAATTGTTAGCTCATCAATTAATTACCATCAAATCAAAGTCAAATCTAGAATTTGAGATAAAATACATAAAATAGCAGTAAGCAATGGCTAATTAACATGGTCAATGAAAATGTATTGTGAATATAAAAAATATAAAGCTGCTATAAAAACAATTATGTGGACCAGTATTTCCCAGAACCAAAAGTAATTCCTACAGCTGTAACATTATGATAGTCAGTGACACTCCTTTATGCCAAAGGTTGCTATTAAAGTTTGATCATGTAATTGGTTTTGTTTCTTTAAAATGTTCCATGCACAAGGCGACTACATCAATACCCGTGCATTAGGAAGTGTTTCACAACCCAGTTGTCAGTGCAGTAACATTCAACAGGCGGGTGTGAGTATGTGAGTTTTGAGTTAACAAGGGGTCCTGGTTAACCCATTTGAACTGCAGTGAATTTCAGGACACAACAACCATCATTGTTTTAGAAATGCCCTATGATGTCCCTAAAATTGTTAGCACACCGTTATTCCCACATTAATGCAAAGTGAGGCAATGACCGGCCTGGTCAAACATAATTCTAGTGGCCTACTCACTTCAAAGTATAAAAACATGGTTTCTAGTCTGGAAGATGTGGATAGAGACAGAGTAGCCCACCAGGTTTATAATCTACATGGCATGGTTTATATGATTAGTCAGCTGCTCAGCCCACCCACCCCTTTAAATAAACCTGACACCACACCTCTCCATTTATGCTGAGAATGTGCTAAAGCAGGACTCAACAGGTGACCCAGAGGAAACAGAGTTCCAAGTGAATGTCAACAACAGATGTCAGTGTCATCTGCTTGATTATCTCAGTGTCAACTGATGAGCGCTACCTTTCCTGAAGGAGTTAAACTAATATAGAGCTCTCAAATAAAAGCCACCATTCCACTTCCAATGGGGGAATATGACTTCTACTGCCGTGTTTGAGTTCCAGGACCCCATTAGCCCTGTTGATTAGTATTTTAGCATGCTGATATAATAATGCTATACGAACCAGTCTCAACTTGTGGCTGTTGCATCTCCTGCTCAGTGACCGGGACCGTCTCTGTGGCTTCGCCAGGCATGCTTGTCTGAAAAGAGAAATCAAGGAATGACTCACCAGGAATAACTGATATTTAAAACAGCCAACTTACTAGCTATTTTTACATGGCTCACATTGACTAGGCAAATGCAGAGCGCCGATGGCTTGAGTGTACTGTAGTAGGAACAGGTTTCAACGTGTCTCAGTGTTCAAATATCAATAACTCCCAACTAGATCTAATTTATACTAAGTACAAACTACTGTACTTGTATACCATTTTAATCACTGAATGACTGATACTGCCAATGGTAACGTTAGCCTACTTACTGACAGTGAGTGAGGTCAGTAGTTCCCCTGTAGCTCAGTTGGTAGAGCATAGGGTTGAGAGTTCGTTTCCCACGGGGGGCCAGTATGAAAATGTATGCACTCACTAACTGTAAGTCGCTCTGGATAAGAGCGTCTGCTAAATGACTAAAATGTTAATGTAATGGATAGCAGCCAAGTAGCTAGCTAGCTAACAATTTTAATTAGAAATCAAGTGTTATGCGTGTTTCACGTGTTGCTACATAGCTAGCTACACCCCAGTCCCTAGCTAGCACGCTAACTAGCCACTTTAAAATGATTAGTTAACTAGCTAATGTTAAGCTGCAAATCAGGAGACAACGTGGCAACTGGACGAAAACAACGCTGTTTAATATAACGTAACAGCAATAATAACAAAACGTACCAACTTTTAAAAAGTCTACAAACAAACAAAAAAGTTAGCTAGCTACCGGTACGCTTACTTTCTGGCGAACAAACTTAGCTTGAAACTAACGTTAGCTAGCTGGCTGTGCGCGGTTACAAAGAGCCGACAAGCCAATTTCATGTGTTGATTCACCGACAACGTCCACCCAACACTTTACAAAGGTAGCACCATTGGTAACATTTAAAAGGTGTCCTCTATGTTCTCAACTAGTTAGCCTGTTCCAGTTAGCGAATGTGGGCAGAGTTGTGTTCCCCCATTTTGTACCAGATATCGACTACATAACAGTGAATATGTGTGTATATAGTGATATAGATTAATATCCACATAAGGGGTATGACACACTTCTCATGTACCGTCAGAGCCCTGTTTAAAATATTTTAAACGATGATAAACGGTTAGATTAAGTTAGATTAGCGGCAGAGACTCACCGAGTCAGTTTTCTATATCCAAGATGGTTGTGAGAGAGAAATTCTAACCTCTGTCTCTCGGTGATATCACATTTTGCACTAACTTCTTCTTCCGGGTCGTTCTGGTGTTTCCAAGTGGGGTTCTCACTATTTTTTTCAAAACATCTCTGGTGTATGCGTTATGAAGTTTTTCCAGATAAAGTTACAGCTCTACATATTTTCAACCCCTTTATTTGAAATCTACAAAGTTAACATTCTATGGTGGGAAATTTTTAAATTTTACATTCTGGCAGGCACTGTTGTTTTTATGGGTGACTTGATAGTGTCTGTTTTAATCTTTCAGCACTGGTCAGCTCCTTTGTCTGGGCCTCATTAACACAAGATAAATGAACAAGCCCGTACAGTAATTAATCGTTAGAAACTTCAGTGATATCAGGATGGCCACGCAGTCATGGGTGAACAGGGAGTACAGGAGGGGGCTAAGCATGCACCCTTGTGGGGCCCCTGTGTTTGAGGGTCAACGTAGTGGTGTTGTTGCCTACCTTTAACACCTGGGGCCGTCCCGCCAGGAAGTCCAGGACCCAGTCTGACAGGGGTATGACAAACTGATTACCAACAACGACGAGACAGCCTACAGGGAGGAGGTGAGGGCCATGGCGGAGTGGTGCCAGGAAAATAACCTCTCCCTCAACAAAACGAAGGAGCTGATTGTGGACTTCAGAAGACCGCAGAGCGAGCACGCCCCCATCCACATCGACAGGGCCACAGTGGAGAAGGTGAAAAGCTTAAAATTCCTCAGGTACACATCACTGACAATCTGAAATGGTCCACCTACACAGACAGTGTGGTGAAGAAGGCGCAACAGCGCCTCTTCAACCTCAGGAGGCTGAAGATATTCGGTTTGGCCCCTAAATTCCTCACAAACTTTTACAGATGCACAATTGAGAGTATCCGGTCGTGCTGTATCACCGCCTGGTACGGCAACTGCACCGTCCGCAACCACAGGGCTCTCCAGAGGGTGGTGCGGTCCGCCCAACGCATCACCGGGGGCACACTGCCTGCCCTCCAGGATATCTACGGCACCCGTTGTCACAGGAAGATCATCAAGGACCTCATCCACCTGAGCCACGGCCTGTTACCCCGCTATCATCCAGAAGGCAAGGTCAGTACAGGTGCATCAAAGCTGGGGCCGAGAGACTGAAAAACAGCTTCTAACTCAAGGCAATCAGACTGTTAAATAGCCATTACTAGCCGGCCTCCACCCAGTACCCTGCCCTGAACTTAGTCACTGTCACTAGCCGGCTACCATCCCGTTACTCAACCCTGCACCTTAGAGGCTGCTGCCCTATGTACACTGCTCAAAAAAATAAAGGGAACACTAAAATAACACATCCTAGATCTGAATGAATGAAATAATCTTATTAAATACTTTTTTCTTTACATAGTTGAATGTGCTGACAACAAAATCACACAAAAATTATCAATGGAAATCAAATGTATCAACCCATGGAGGTCTGGATTTGGAGTCACACTCAAAATTAAAGTGGAAAACCACACTACAGGCTGATCCAACTTTGATGTAATGTCCTTAAAACAAGTCAAAATGAGGCTCAGTAGTGTGTGTGGCCTCCACGTGCCTGTATGACCTCCCTACAACGCCTGGGCATGCTCCTGATGAGGTGGCGGATGGTCTCCTGAGGGATCTCCTCCCAGACCTGGACTAAAGCATCCGCCAACTCCTGGACAGTCTGTGGTGCAACGTGGCGTTGGTGGATGGAGCGAGACATGATGTCCCAGATGTGCTCAATTGGATTCAGGTCAGGGGAACGGGTGGGCCAGTCCATAGCATCAATGCCTTTCTCTTGCAGGAACTGCTGACAAACTCCAGCCACATGAGGTCTAGCATTGTCTTGCATTAGGAGGAACCCAGGGCCAACCGCATCAGCATATGGTCTCACAAGGGGTCTGAGGATCTCATCTCGGTACCTAATGGCAGTCAGGCTACCTCTGGCGAGCACATGGGGGGCTGTGCGGCCCCCCAAAGAAATGCCACCCCACACCATGACTGACCCACCGCCAAACCGGTCATGCTGGAGGATGTTGCAGGCAGCAGAACGTTCTCCACGGCGTCTCCAGACTCTGTCACATGTGCTCAGTGTGAACCTGCTTTCATCTGTGAAGAGCACAGGGCGCCAGTGGCGAATTTGCCAATCTTGGTGTTCTCTGGCAAATGCCAAACGTCCTGCACGGTGTTGGGCTGTAAGCACAACCCCCACCTGTGGACGTCGGGCCCTCATACCACCCTCATGGAGTCTGTTTCTGACCGTTTGAGCAGACACATGCACATTTGTGGCCTGCTGGAGGTCATTTTGCAGGGCTCTGGCAGTGCTCCTCCTGCTCCTCCTTGCACAAAGGCGGAGGTAGCGGTCCTGCTGCTGGGTTGTTGCCCTCCTACGGCCTCCTCCACGTCTCCTGATGTACTGGCCTGTCTCCTGGTAGTGCCTCCATGCTCTGGACACTACGCTGACAGACACAGCAAACCTTCTTGCCACAGCTCGCATTGATGTGCCATCCTGGATGAGCTGCACTACCTGAGCCACTTGTGTGGTTGTAGACTCCGTCTCATGCTACCACTAGAGTGAAAGCACCGCCAGCATTCAAAAGTGACCAAAACATCAGCTAGGAAGCATAGGAACTGAGAAGTGGTCTGTGGTCACCACCTGCAGAACCACTCCTTTATTGGGTGTGTCTTGCTAATTGCCTATAATTTCCACCTGTTGTCTATGCCATTTGCACAACAGCATGTGAAGTGTATTGTCAATCAGTGTTGCTTCCTAAGTGGACAGTTTGATTTCACAGAAGTGTGATTGACTTGGAGTTACATTGTGTTGTTTAAGTGTTCCCTTTATTTTTTCGAGCAGTGTACATAGACATGGAACACTGGTCACTGGTCACTTTAGTAATGGAACACTGGCCACTTTAGTAATGTTTACATACTGTTTTACCCATTTCATATGTATATATTGTATTCTAGTCAAGACCATATATATATATATATATATATATATATATATATATATATATATATATATATATATATATATATATACATACATACATACATACATACATACATACACACACACATAGTGTATGAATATATGATGGGATGTATAGACATTATGGACAGCATGTGGATAGAATATGTAGTATATCTGAAGAATACGTAGGATAGAATAGTACATGTATATGTACAGCAATCACCCGACCTCAACCCAATTGAGATGGTTTGGGATGAGTTGGACCGCAGAGTGAAGGAAAAGCAGCCAACAAGTGCTCAGCATATGTGGGAACTCCTTCAAGACTGTTGGAACAGCATTCCAGGTGAAGCTGGTTGAGCGAATGCCAAGAGTGTGAAAAGCCATCTTCAAGGCAAAGGGTGGCTACTTTGAAGAATCTAAAATATAACATATATTTGGATTTGTTTAACACTTTTTTGGTTACTACATGATTCTATGTTATTTCATAGTGTTGATGTCTTCACTATTATTCTACAATGTAGAAAATAGTACAAATAAAGAAAAACCCTTGGATGAGTAGTTTGTCATATACATACATACTAAATACTTTTTTCCCCCACTGTATAGTCAAACGTATGGACACACCTACTCATCCAACGGTTTTTCTTTATTTGTACTATTTTCTACATTGTAGAATAATAAGGTATTTCAGTTGTTTATTTTTAATACATTTGCAAACATTTCTAAAAACCTGTTTTTGCTTTGTCATTATGGGGTATTGTGTGTAGATTGAGGAGGGAAAAATCTATTCAATCCATTTTAGAATAAGGCTGTAATGTGACAAAATGTGGAAAAAGTCAAGGGGTCTGAATACTTGCACTGTAAATATTGCACATGTATATCATATACAGTGCCTTCGGAAAGTATTCAGACCCCTTGACTTTTTCCATATTTTGTTACGTTACAGCCTTATTCTAAAATGGATGAAATCGTTTTTTCCCTCATCAATCTACACACAATACCCCATAATGACAAAGCAAAAACAGGTTTTTAGAAATTTCTGCTAATTTATTAAAAATAAAAAACAGAAATATTACATTTACATAAGTATTCAGACCCTTTATTCAGTACTTTGTTGAAGCACCTTTGGCAGCAATTACAGCCTTGAGACTTCTTGGGTACGACGCTACAAGCTTGGCACACCTTTATTTGGGGAGTTTCTCCCATTCTTCTCTGCAGATCCTCTCAAACTCTGTCAGGTTGGATGGGGAGCGTTGCTGCACAGCAATTTTCAGGTCTCTCCAGAGATGTTGGCTCTGGTTCAAGTCCGGGCTCTGGCTGGGCCACTCAAGGACATTCAGGCTGTGTGCTTAGGGTCATTGTCCTGTTGGAAGGGGAACCTTATTTCCCTCATTCAAATGCAAATCAATTTATAACATTTTTGACATGCATTTTTCTGGATTTGTTTGTTGTTATTCTGTCTCTCACTGTTCAAATAAACCTACCATTAAAATTATAGACTGATCATTTCTTTGTCAGTGGGCAAACGTACAAAATCAGCAGGGGATCAAATACTTTTTTCCCTCACTGTATATAGACAGGTGTGTGCCTTTCCAAATCATGTCCAATCAATTGAATTTACCACAGGTGGACTCCAATCAAGTTGTAGAAACATCACAAGGATGATCAACGGAAACAGGATGCACCTGAGGTCAATTTGACCCTGAAAGACCGCAATTGGATGAAATGTTTACTAGTTCTGACGTAATCTCTGAGATTAATCATGCTTGTAAATACGTTTATCCTGAATGTGAAAACATTTAGTCAAAGGGGTGGATTGATAGATTAATTTGTATTTTAAGAATAATGACTAAAGGATTTCACCCTAAATACAGTATAAATGTGTGAACGGTGTTAGAGTTATAATGCAGTGTCAACCCACTAACAGAGGGGGAGGAGTTAGAAACTGTTGAGAAAACATTCCAGGGTGAAGGGGACTAAGAAACGGTTTAAAGGTGGGCGGAGCAAAGTGCCTTTGTGTGTCAAGGGGTATAAAAGCTGTATGTATGTTT